CATGTGTCAAATGGGCGCCCCTCGTACAGCACTGAACGACCATCCAGTGCGGATTCAATTGATCTTGCTGTTGACGACTACATCTTTTCGCCGAAGCTGACCCAGAGAGTGACCCACCCGGCCACCGGCCGCTCCATCGCCTTCTCTGAAGTCGGTGCTCCTAAGGGTCATGTCGTGCTTTGCTGTGTCGGCATGGGCCTCACTCGGTATTTGATGGCGTTTTATGATGAGTTGGCTCGGACGCTCAATCTACGACTTGTCACATTGGATCGCCCTGGCGTTGGCGAGAGTGGTCCCCACCAGGGAGACGAGCCAAGCACCCCTCTCAGCTGGCCCGGTAAGCAAGAATACCCAGAGATTTTAATCCTCGCTAATCATTAATAGATGATGTTGCCATCGTTTGCAACCACCTCCGTGTGACCAAATTTTCCATCCTTGCCCATTCCGCCGGCGCAATCTACGCTCTTGCAACGGCTCTCCGAATTCCGCAGCATATCCGTGGCCGCATTCATCTCTTAGCTCCATGGATTCCCCCATCTCAGTTGTCTACCATTGGCTCTAAGAAGGATCCCGCGCCCACCAACGCGGTCCCTTACTCCCAAAAGATTCTTCGTGCTCTTCCCACCTCCCTTCTCAAAGTGGCAAATTCAAGCTTCATGAGTGCCACTAGTGCCAGCATCACCACTAGTCTACCTAAGTCCCCGCGACGGACCAAGCGCAAGGCTGCTGCCAAAGAAGCTTCCAATGCAAATGCCATCCCTCCGATCCCGCCTATACCTTCCGTTGAAAACAATCTGCAGACTCAGCGAGTGGACATCCCACCAAATATCAAACCGTCCGCTTCAACCACCGCTTCGCACAGAAAGAGTGACACGACTCTCGCGTCTCGCGCGAAGTCTCCAGAAGACGAGGTCGAACGGCAGCGTGACTATGATACTCGTCTGACCTACAAGATCTGGGAGCTGGCCACTACGAACGCCAACCCGGCGGTTGATTTGCTGGTATGTCTCGAGCGTCGCCAAACAATTGGGTTCCGCTATGTGGACATCACGCGATCAGTGGTGATTCATCATGGTAGCAAAGACCCTCGCGTTCCAGTGGAGAATGTCCAGTGGCTTGGCAAAACGATGCGCCGCTGCGAGGTCCGGATCCTCGAAGGCGAAGGCCACGGCCTCATGGCATCTGCAGGTGTCATGGGCAATGTCTTGACCGAGATTGCCAAGGAGTGGGAGGACTGGACCATCCTTGTCCAAGGCAAACGCCGTGCCACTGCTAGCCATGCTACACGGCCTGGGCTGTCGATTCAAACCTGATGTTGCTAGTCTGCCGCCTTTTCCCTTTATTCAATGTCTTTGATATGCACCACACCTTCAGCCCTGGTGGCTCATCTTTCCCTAATTACCATCGCTCTCGTTTTTACAGGCGAGGCCGCAGCTGGTCTGCGGTTCCCACTGTTTCTGGCCTACACCCTTGAACTTCTATGTCCTATCATTTATCCTTACCCCTTTCTTACCCGTCTACATACACCTACTGGTGCGAGGTTCATGCCCTCTCTATGATTTACTGTCGACAGGGGGTTTTGCCTTTGAACAAAAGAACCCGTCTGATTTAGCATAATACCCCAGTCATGCCATATTTTAATTAATATTGATAATTAATCTTGACTTGTATAGTAAAGGTAGAAGTAAGACAATTTATAGAACAAGCATATATTATTTACATCATAGCTTCGCCAAGCATCAGCGCTCAGACGGGGCAAACCCGCAAATCAGGGATGGCATGCCTTTGGCCCCTTGACCCCACTTCTCCTGACCTGTTTGGAGATTTGGATCTGTTTATTGTTAGTTTTTGGAAGATTCAGGGCTCAAATGCGCTGTCGAATGCTCCCGATACCCTAGACCGTTAGATTTCCCGGGAACGGAAGAATTCTTGGCTTCTGGAACACGTCACGTTCTCTCTAAGTCACCTCGACCCTCACGACTTAGAATTTTGGAACCAGCCTTTTTTGATACAAATCACAAGCCACACGGCTATAAGTGCAATTCTCCATGCCTTCTTCCCAACGGCGGCTTCGACTGATTGTCGTTGCGGTCATTGCGATTCTTTTCATGGTCTTTTACTACACTGTACGTGACCAGATTTCCCTTTTCCGCACTGTTTCTTCAGATATCTGACACGCAATCACATCCACAGGGCGATGCAAGCAAAATCCAGAATCAGAAGTTCTATCGATCAACCCTCGACGCAATGAAAGCGAAAGAGCAAGCCAAACAGGCCAAGGCCCAAGAGAAGATCCAGAATCCCGTGCATGCGCCCGGACAGAATGGCGCTGCCGGTGCGGGTGTCGGTGACAAGGTGCCCATCGCCGAGGTCGGGAAAACTGGGGTTCCTCCTGCTACAGGGAATGAAGATACAGAGGAGATCCCAATTGCGGGACGGACGAAGATGACCGTTCCGAAGAAGGGAAATCAGGATACGCCGTCGGAGGCTGAGTCGGAGATTAAGAGCGAGGAGGAGAAGGAGCGTGAGGAAAAAGCGAAAAGGGAGCGCGAGGAGAAAGAGAGAAAAGAGGCCGAGGCGACAACGGAGCTTAATGCGATCCTTAAGCGGGCTCCAGGTATGTTTCTTTCCTCCGTTTTCCATTTGTTGTCCGTCACCAAGACTAACCGCATCCAGTCATTATTTTTTCCAAATCATACTGCCGTTACAGCAAGAAAGCCAAGTTGATCTTGTTGGAGCACTACTCTATCGAGCCGAAACCGTTCGTGGTCGAATTGGACCAGCACCCGCTTGGGCCGTATCTGCAGGCCCTGCTGGCACAGAGTACGGGGCGTCGCACTGTGCCCAATGTGCTCGTGAGCGGGAAGAGTATAGGTGGTGGAGACGATATTGCGGCATTGGATCAGAGCGACGAGCTGGCTTCGACGCTGCGACAAATGGGCGGGAAATGGATCGTGGATGTGTCGCACCAGGAGGTTGAGAAATTACTGTGAGGTTAGTATTGTAAAACAAGTGTCAAGTTTTGATAGCCATAGCTCATAGCCCTGGTAGAAAATTAGGGGGCGGAGGGGGGAGAGTATATGGTTGTTGAAGCTCATCGCATTGTACATAGTAGCGAACTTGCTCAGGAACTCCAGGCTCCAGCTTAATATTTACCAGATGTAACTCTACTTAGCTATCACTTAATTAACAATGGTGGAGCAAGTACCGGTACAAGCCTCGATAAGACGATAAGCTGATAAGGAACCCTAATCGCGCTAGACCCAAAATGGCCCTAAGCGACGCACAACCCCGTGACATCCAATTTCGCTCCACCACCAAGTCCATTCGAATTTTGAACCTCCCCGACATCGACAATCTACACCCCCGGCAACCACCAAAAGTCACGTCAAGATGCGGTACATTCACTCCGAGGAACGGCTGCCCATTCTGGACAATGGTGAGCGAATTTCCCTTTTTTTATTGAGGGTGGAGGAAGCCGGTCGCACACAATACAACTTCTCTTTTGAGGGCACGAAATTCAACCTACAAGCCTAGCACGACATACGATTCATATCCAACACCAATTCAGCAGAAGCAGGAGGGAATATTGTGTGGGATCGGCGACTCGCACACCTACCGGACAATTCTCGATTTTGATTCTTCAAAATATTGAATTTCACAAAAAAGGAAATGCCATCAACTAACCTAAATCTTTTTTTCGCTCTACAGTGAAGGTCCAGATTCGCTCCCGCGTCGTGTCTGTCGAGGGTCCCCGCGGCAAGCTCGTCAAGGATCTCTCCCACATTGCCGTCACCTTCGGCCGCCCCGAGCAGAACGTTATCTCCATCGAGCTGCACCACGGTGCCCGCAAGGGTGTTGCTACCCTCCGTACCGTCCGTACCATCATTAACAACCTGATGATCGGCGTTACCCGTGGCTTCAAGTACAAGATGCGTTACGTCTACGCTCACTTCCCCATCAATGTCAACATTGAGCCCAACCCAGAGACTGGCCGCTCTGTTGTGGAGATCCGGTATGGAACCCTGGAATCTTATAGTTTTTCTCGATATGATTTTGAAATCGTACCGTGAGAATCCATTATGACGGAACTAGGGCTAACATTTTGTTACCAGCAACTTCCTCGGTGAGAAGTACGTCCGCCGCATCACTGCTCAGCCCGATGTCGACATCGCTCCCTCCGCCAACGTCAAGGATGAGCTTATCCTCACCGGTAACTCCCTTGAGGGTGTGTCCCAGTCCGCCGCCGACATCCAGCAGATCTGCCGTGTCCGAAACAAGGATATCCGTAAGGTTAGTTATACCAACACAACCACTTTTACCGGGAGGACCCGAGTCTCTGAATTCATACTAACCCTCCGCAGTTCTTGGACGGTCTTTACGTGTCGGAGAAGGGCAACATCATCGAAGAGTAAATGTGCCGCTTGGGAATGTATGGGGTGTCCGGGAGAGGTTTCTTTAATTTCGCCTACTTGCATATAGGGAAGCAAAGCGAAATGTCAAAAACAAAACGACCCTTTTGAAATTCACTGATTCCCTTACGCGAATAACGTTTTTGTATGTGGCATGTAGAAATGTGCGCCCGAGGCAATTCCATTACTTCATTACTTTAATACTATCAAGTATATTAAGTATTGAGTAGAGAGATGTACCTATATTTGTCGCGGGGCAGTTGTACGTTGTAGTTGAAGATGAAGATCCGGGGGAATCTGGATCGATCTGGTACCCTTAACTCTTCAACCTTCAACATTTCAACCTCAGCACAATTACTTCCTACCAATCGAGTCCAATCCATCTCTACAACACAGCTATCCTCGAATACATATAACTCTGGATCACTCAATCTACTATTAATCCAATATCACTACCTCAAATCTCAATCTCCAATTCCCTAGTGTAACGTGTGTGACGTTATAGCATGTGAAAGCGAATACCCGGGCCCGCATGTGCACCTCTCCTCAACCAGCCACAACGCAGACATGTATCCCTTGAGAGCAAAAATGGGGTCCTGGTGGCTCGGACTGTGGAAGATCGTTGGTGCGATCTGGAATATGGTGCTTGATGTTGCTCAGTTCTGGAGAGATGTGAGTGTTGTGCTCTAATCCTAGCCTCAAGTGTTTTTTGTATGCGGGGAGAGGTGAAGCCTGAGATGGCAAAGACAAAAGACACACGAGACATATCATCGAATTTAGTTTCCGGTCTGATCTTGAGCTAATACATGTCCCCTAGAAATTGTTATCATGGTGGCATTCCAAATCCCCTCGAGATCGACTCTTCCACACGCTAGCCAACGCGCAGAGCTATGAGGAGTGGGAAGAAGCGGCATTTGAGCTCGATGAGCTACAAAGTAAAGATTTATGGTATGAAATCAAACCACGCCAATTGAACCCAGCTTAAAACCCATGTACCAAACCACCTTCTAACCATCTACGCAGGCGCCAAAATCCTGTCAGCCGACACTACGACTACCGACTGATCCTCGGCCGGCTGGAAGCATTGATGAGCGCGCGCGAGTCAGAAGACATCCTAACACTAGTAAATCTACTCCGATCCGGTCTAGTACGCAATCTGGGCAACATAACCAGTACGAAGCTATTCACGCATGCGTACGCAGGAACCAAGCTTCTGATTGACGACTACATCACGCAAGTAGCTCTGTCAATCCAGTACGTGACATCTGTCCCAGGAGCACCAATGCACCCGAGCGGGTTCGGCTCGCAAGCGAAGCTGGAGCTACTGCATGATACACGGCAGGCGTTTGGGCGGACGACACTGCTGCTGCAGGGCGGGTCTGCGTTCGGGCTGTGTCATCTTGGTGTTGTAAAGGCGCTGCATTTGCAAGGTCTGTTGCCGCGGATTATTACAGGCACTGCGACTGGGGCGATGATTGCCGCGCTTGTGGGGATTCATTCTGAGGATGAGTTGTTGCCGTTGCTTGATGGGGAGGGTATTGATCTCTCTGCTTTTGAGAGGCGGAAGATGGTTAATGGTGGGAGTGGGGGTAACTCTAATTCGAGTTGGGTTGGGACGTTTTATCGAAGGATGAGGAGGTTGCTGAGGAAGGGGTATTTGTTTGATGTTGGTGTTTTGGAGGAATGTGTTCGGGCTAACGTTGGGGATCTTACGTTTGAAGAGGCGTATGCGCGGTCGAAGCGCATCTTGAATATCACAGTTGCGACAATGGGGAAGAACGGGACACCGAATCTGTTGAATTACTTGACTTCGCCGAATGTGGTATGTATCCCCTCCTTCTCCTTGCCAGTTTCAGTGACATCTAACACCATTTTCAGCTCATCTGGTCCGCGGCCGTAGCATCCAACGCCTCTTCCTCAGGCCTCTACTCACCAGTGACGATCTATTGCAAAGACGAAACAGGCACAATAGTCCCATGGCCACACACACAAGATGCAGTCTTCCGACCCTGGCGACACGTCCAATACAATGAAGGCGAATCCCCCCTCTCACGAATCTCCGAACTCTTCAATGTAAACCACTTCATCGTCTCCCAAGCCCGACCATACCTAGTTCCATTCTTGCGCTCGGAATTGAACCTCCTAGACCGACGTCAAACAGGCTGGCACAATTTCTCCCGCTCCGCAATGCGACTAGTAATCGTCGAACTGCGCCACCGGCTCCGTCAACTCGACTACCTAGGCGTGTTGCCCGCTCCATTGAGCAGACTCCTCATCGACGAGACCATCCCTGGACCGAACCTAACTCTCGTGCCGGACCTGTGTTTCTGGGATTTGAGAAAATTATTCCAGAGTCCGACAAAAGACCGTGTCTCTGAGTGGGCACTTAAGGGCGAGAGGGGAGTTTGGCCTGCGATTAGTGCGCTGAAGGTTCGGGAGGCGGTTGAGATTGAGCTTGATAGGGGGTATCAGCTTGTTAGGCGGCGTAGACCGAGTGATGCTTCGGCTTCAGTGTGTGTGCCGAAGCAGGTTAATGCTATGAATGAGGGTGTGCCTAGGCGCAGGAGGGGTGGGAGTGAGAATGAGGAGGGGATTCTGGGTGATCGGGAGTGATATTGGGTTATAGAGTTGCTATAACTAATTCATATTGTTCTTATATTTGCGTCTGCATGTAAATGGGGTACTTCGTACTCGGATGTTCTGACTTCAAAAAGATATCTTCTGGTTAATCCCTGGGCCAATCAAATGTTGACGTGTTAATTGAGCACACCGACCTTTTAAGAATCTCCATCGGTGAAAAGTCCCTTTCATCTCATCTTCTATGTTGAAAGGCGCCATAGTCTGTTGATTCAAGCTTCTTACTCCAATAACTCTACATCATTCTAGACAGGTTATTGACAGCAACAAAAGCCTTCAAGCAATGGAAGCTCCACCGTTTGACAGCTCACAGCTGGAGATCCTGGAGATGAATGAGGCTTTTGAAGATATAAATGGCAGCTTCGGGTTTGCCGGCACGTTAGTCCTGTATCGGATGAATGGTCAATTGTATCACGGAATGCTGAAAGCTCGTTACTATCCTTCCACAATTGTCAATCCAGCGGACCTCACAAATATCATCCAAATACCCCCCTCAGCCTACAGTCCTCTACACGCAACAGACTTGACTCGAGCACATTCTCTAACTGTGTGATACAATCAACCATCTGGCTAGTTTAAGAATACATGGGGGCTCTAGAGACTCAGTAGTCATTCGATAATTTGACATACTATCACTTTTTAACGAGGGTTAGAAAAGTAAGGTTTAGAAGGCTTATATAATAATTTAATATACCATCACTTTAACTATAACGTATTTCACCACCGAGTGGTCCACCCCACCGGAAACGCGTCAATTAATTTAATCCCTTCTTCTTCAACCACCCACCATACTACCAATTCGTACTTAAAGCTCTAGAAATTCAATAGAGCAAGAGGGTAGGATCTTACTAGCAATCCAGGCTTTTAAGAATCAAGAAATATCTTTAATTCGTAAAGTAGCGCGCTATTTCGAAGTCCTAAGGTCGACTCTCCTCTGCCGACTAGGGAATACCCTAAGCTAGACCTGGCAGTGACCCTCCGGGTGGTCCATGATCTTGGACC